TAGATAGATAGATAGATAGATAGATAGATAGATAGATAGATAGATAGATAGATAGATAGATAGATATAGATTTTCTCCCCAACAACTACATGAGTATGATTGGGCAGAGAGGATGAATGACTCCCCTCCCCTCACAAAAAGATCTAGTGAGCTTAATGGCTCTGAGGGAAATACTTACATTTTAGTAAGGGACCGTAAAGAAGAAAATGCATTGGCATGAATAATGGAGATTTTATTCCAAGCTAAATCCCTACGAGACAAAAAAGGCATGTGCTTAGTAATGTATAGTGTTGAATATTTTTATTAAAATATTAACAGTAAGAAATTTCTTCCAATAATTTATTTTAGAGGACAATGTATCTAAATTAATGATGAAATAGATTGAAAGTCACAAAAGCTTGCGAGAATAGATTTTTAGATTTCAGAATGGTGGATCCATGCAAATTTATCTAATTATCATTTATCTGTCTGTCTGTCTGTCTGTCTGTCTGTCCGTCCGTCCATCCATCCACCCATCCCTCCATCCCTCCATCCAGATAATATTTTTTTTTCATCCACTGCAGTTTATTTGAAATTGAAGCTATTTCTTGTAATACTGCCCTCTTTCAAAATTTGTGGAATTATGTTTACCCATTTGCTTCATCCCATTTTTCTCCTCCTGGGTTTTGACCACTAAAGCAGGTCATTTTAATAGAAATGTAGCTTGACTGAAAATGAAATGAAAATATGGGTGAACAATGTTCATGCATGCAAGCACTTTATTTTAATTTTGCTTTGAGTGAATGGGGGGGGTGGGGTGTTTATTGCTCCAGAATTTGTAGCAACTTGGGGCAAGGCAATGATCTTTGTGCCTTTTTCTCAGCTTTGCTACATTGATGTAGTCTCAGATCTTCTTTTGAGTAGTTTAAAGTACTTTAAAAGCTAAAAGCAGTAACAGTAACAGTATGAAAGTCCCCTTAATCTTTATTAAGGCTTTAAGATACAAAACCTTTTTCCCCTGAGTAAGAATCTATTAATGTCAAATTTAATATTTTCAACTAAATTTTAAGCTGGTCAATTAAAAGCATGCATTGGTTTCCTATTTTACTCCCTCCCTACCAAATCAGGAATTGATGGGCAATCTCTGCCCTAACTGCAATGTGATGCTGCTGTTCCTACAAATTATGTAAAGAAATGACAAGCTTTAGTTCTCACTCCTTCCCATCATTTTCCTTTCATCTCTCACACATCCACGCTCACAGAACACTTCTGATCTACTAAATCACCTTTGTCTCTGAACTTACTTATCTGACTTGGTAGTCAGAATCAAAGTTATGATCTGCAGTTATGGTTCACAACTAGTGTCACAACTAGTTAAGATCTTCAGTAAATTGTGCAGGAGAATTAGTGACAGGTAGAGGTGCATGCCTGCATGCCTGCATGTGTCTATATTTCAATAAGGCAAGTCCATTGATATTATCCACTGTTTCTCTTTCTCATTTTGGTCCATCTGTTTCTCTGTCTATCCCTGCCAATTTTCTTCAATCTGCTTCTATTTGCAACATTTTCTTTCACTATTTTTTGGCCCTACCTCTATTATACACAGGCTTATTTGCGGCAAGATTACATTATTATAGGTATTCAGTTGATTTAAAATGTCTACGTACATCTATTAAAATGCCACAGTTTGGAAATGTGAAAAAAATTACTTCAGAATATTTTCCATCTTTAATACAGGTAGTCCTCAACTTATGATCATAATTAAGCCCAAAATTTCTGTTCTAAAATGAGACATTTATTGAGGTTTGCCCCACTTTATGACATTTCTTGTTACAGCTGGTAAGTTAGTAACCTTGTTGTTATGTGAATCTGGCTTCCCCATTAAATTTGCGTGTCAGAAAGTTGCAAAGAAAGTTGCGTGACCTTGGGACACAGCAACAGTCATAAATATGAACCAGTTGCCAAGCATCTGAATTTTAATCAGATGATCACGGGGACGCTGCAAAGGTCGTAACTGTGAAAAATGGTCATGTTACATTTTTCAGGGCATTTGTAACTTTGAATAGTCACTAAACGAACTGCTGTAGGCCGAGGACTACCTGTATAACATATAAGCTGTATAATTCAGTTGAAAAACAAGCTGAAATATTTTAATATAAAAATAATAAAAAACTTACAATATAAAGTCTATTCATTCTTTCTGCAATTTTGTAGTCTGAAGAAAAGTTATTTTACTTTGCTATTCATTCAAGTAATAATAAAAGGTTTTACATGAATCATTCAAATGGCTTATTCTTTAGTGATATCAACAGGTTAAATCTGTTTCAAGGGTGCTTTTTTTCTTTGATGCATGGCTGTGTGAATTCATTGCTGGAAATTGTCAATGTCAGAATGTTTGTTTCCTTTTGGCAAATCAAATGCAGCAATTTGAACAATCAAGGAGGAAAAAACAAAATATGTAAGATCGGGCAGGAGAAAGGAATGTCAGCTTCCATGCCTCTCAATATCAAGTACTGTAAAGAACTATTTTATGGTGATACTCACAGGGAACGGAGGGCAACCAGCTGCTGAAATGCATTTGCATGGATTTCATATATTTCATTGTGATGTAAAGCACTGAAATGGCAAAAAAAAAAAAGAATGTATAGACAAAAACTTTAGGAAAGTTGCTATTGATGCTGAAATTCCAAGGGTAACTTTCACAACTACTAAACATGCTAGGATATTCCAATCGTGTTTTTGAAAATTCATTTCAGGTAAGGTAAAAAGAATGACTCCAATATTAAACTGTGGCACTTTCTCAAACATTTTTCTGACATAAACAACTCAAAACCTTGTTTTGTTCTCCTCCAGAGAGCTTATATTCAACTATACATGCCCAAGCAGCGACAGTTTGGTAGACTATTTTATTTTTAAAATATCAAAATCTGAATATAAACAAACAAAGATTCAGATTACTACATGCATAAATTCTTTGTACTGGAAAAGATAGGGAATCCTGCTCTTTCTGGGCATGAATTCAAAGCATTTTAGAAATCTTACATTTTCTGAAGTTTTTCACAAGCTGTAAAACAGGGCAATTCTTCCAGATGATTATATGAAAGGTCTCTGAAAAACAAAGTAGAAATCCAAAATGGCATATGGTTCTGCTATAAATTAAAAATGTATTTTACAACTTTTTTTTTGCAGAGAGACTGCTATTAGAAGAACACTAGATCCAGTTTTCTTATAAAACATACTTCTTTTAATTGTTTTACATAATCTACTTCTTTTGTTTTAGGACTATCCCATATTTTTATCAGCAACCATAGCAAAATTTAATAAGCTTCTCAGACTATACTTTAAATTAAGCAATCTTGCATCTGACCTTTAGAACTGCTATATCTTGAGTTGGGAAAAGTGGTTTGGGAACTAGAAGTCACTTTGAAAATCAATTATTACAAAGGGAAAAAATCTCTTCAAATATTTTCAGCCAAAACCTAACAGATTACAGAACAACTGAAACATCTGGACTCATTTATAGTATAATATAACTAATCAAAAACAAGCCATTGTAATTTTCTGAAATTGTAAAAAGAAGAAAGAAAAAAGGGGAAATAGATTTGTATCCTGTACTCCTTTATGCAGGGTAACCTCCTATGATCTTTATTAAGACTTTTGTCTCTGTAAATTAAAAAATGAGAACGGACATAGGAATATGCCTATTGTTTCCTTTTAAAGCCATAAATGGTAAGATTTTATTCCTATACTAATTTTTAAAAGATAAACATAGTTGTCCATGCTTCAAATTCCTTAGATAAATGTTGTTAAACAGCAGTTATTTTTATACAAATGAAAACATTTTACATTTCCTTTCCCTTCCAGCAAGATCCAGGAAAAGACTATTGAAAGAGACTTATTTAGTGAGTTGAAAGTGAGGATAAAAAACCAAACCAAAACCAAACCAAAACTCCATGCATATAGAACACTACAAACTTTCACACAGCTAAATATTTCACAAACATGAAGCCCTAAAGAAACACTTGGAGAATGCAGTCCAAGGTCAGATACAAAAATGGTCAATGCAATAAAATTGAAAAGAGCATTAAAGAAAGGAACTCCTATTACTGATTTCAATATCTTGGCAGGAAAGGCTTGAGGAAAGATGTGGTTCAGAGCCTCAACCAATCTGAAATGATGCATCTTAGTTCACAAAGAAAGCCAATCCACATCTATTAACTGAGACTTGGATAACTTGTTGACTAAGGGACAGATAAGTAGGAAGGACTAACTCCAAAAAATACAGTAGACAGACAAATGTGTAACATGTACAAATGGCTGATATCTATCTATCTATCTATCTATCTATCTATCTATCTATCTATCTAT